ATACAGGAAGGTTTTAAAGAATGGCCCTGTGCGTAGGATGACGTGTGCTAAAGCACAAGTGAGGGAAATTGACTTCAAGTGTATGTTGAATGATTTGTTTGACATTGCGTGTCAGTCAAAAGTGGATGCAATGAAAAATGGAACTGCAAAAATGCTGTTGGCTCTTCACCGAGAACCGGGAAAAAAGGGTTATTTGGACCAAATCATCGATACAGCAGATTAGATTCCTCCGCTTAAACACGGATATGAAAAATGACAGCCTCAAGAAGAAGGTACTAAATGTATTCCATTCATTTTCCTTTATTGAGAGTGATAGAAGAAAAGTCATCATGATCACTAAGTGCACTTCCGCGGTGGAAATGACGTAGCCAGACTTGGGTCGACGCGGTGAAAGGTAGAGAAAAATTGAAAATAAAAAAAACGTTTGAAGTTTTGTGCTGCACGCTTTTAGCCATTTGTCCTTTTCGTCAAGTTGCCAAAGCTAATGAGATGAGAACGGTTGGATGTTAAAGAGTATATTGATTAATCCAGGAATCAGGGATTTAGGAGAATTGAAAATACTATATTTAATTTTTTTTCTTTATCTAGAGATTGTAACCATCTCCCCAATAATTTTTATAACCCTCCAATTTGCATTTTTCAATGGGAAATCATCCATTATAAAGTGCACTTTTTGAACGTCTCGAGCGGGCTGTGACGTCACAGCAGTGTAGTCGCCATCACTGATCTCTATATAACTGTATAGCCGATCCCTATGGCAGCCAGTGAGTTTATTACAGAGGTACGCAGCGCCTCCGGATAGTAGTCAGCGAACTAAGATTTTCTCTAGTGCGCATGTCCGTGTCAGCTGCAGGTAGTGGGGCAGTGGTAAATTTACCGAGAGCATTGGGAAATATTATAGGATATTTTACCGTGTAAGACATCCAGAATAACAGACGAACTTTTGTTAATAATCAGTGAAAACTGACATTGTCTATAAACGCGAAAGGAAGCCGAAGCATGGAGGAATGTCGAAATTAGTACAATTGTTATTAATATTGTATTATTAATGAATTGTATAATCGTTAATAATTGAAAAAATTGAATTTTTAAAAACTACAAAGAATCGCCAAAGAATGTTATTAGATTTTTTTAATCGTAATTTTTTGCTATATTTAATTGACGTTTTAGTTTTTTCAAAAAATCAATTTTGAAAAATCAGGATTTAACCTACTGTCTTATGTCAAAGTCCATAACTTTGTTGTAGAGCAAGATTGCAATCGGAATTTTGGACTCAAAATATGAAAAAAATCAAGAAATTTTTTGACACATGATACAACATGAATGACCGTTTTTTAAACAATATCCATTATTTATTTATAAAACGGAGATGTTTGAAAAGAAAATAATATGTTGAAAAATGTAATTTGAATGATGCTGATTGTGTATGAATTTTTTATAAATTTTCTCACGTAATTTAATGGAAAAATTTAATAATTGAAAATCTCGACATCTATAGTGTGGTTAGTATGAACTTGTAGCCTACTGATGAGCTACTTTAAGGAAATTAATGTATTCAGGAAATTGGGAAACTCAAAATAAATATTCAACTGAATTTATTCGTTCGAAATTTTTTTGTATTTATTAAACTATAATACACCTAGACTGATCGGAATTTATTGATTGAGTATACTATACTAATTTTACCTTTTTCAATTATTATTTACAATTTGGGACGGAGAATGTTTCCACGGCAATTTTCCGAGCACGTGGCCCCCACTGCGGCGCGCATGCGCACTGACGTCATCTTTAGTATCTGAGCTACTATACGGCAGCGCTGACTGACACTTCAATTCGCCTCACTTTGAGAGTGGTGGGAGCATAGGTATCAGCTATCCAGTTATATAGAGATCAGTGGTCGCCATGCTTCTCCCTCACTCTCGTAGCGGCAGCCGACAGGAGCGACACACGCTGTCTCTCTCGTAACTTTTAACTCATTATTAACATTAATAATCCACATAAAAATCATTTTTTTTCTCGTGGAATATTTTTTTGGTGACCCATATAACGCATTAAGAGGAGAATTTCATCAATTTGAAAAAAAATGAATGTTCCCTATTCTCCAAAATTCCTGATTCCAGAATTAATTTACATAGCGTGGAAATGAATATGTTTACCGAGTATATTGATGGGTTTACTCTAGAAGCCGCTTACCCAGGTAGGGGAAAAACAAATCGGCCGGGCTCGGGCCAATCGCGGTGGCCAGACTGCCGAACTTCGGGGCGTAGCGATATGAAGAACTTTCTTCTCTATCCTCTCACTCTTCTTATCAAAATTCCTAGTAAATTCTTACTAATTGTGAATTCCGCCAATTTTGCAGTGAAACCGAACAGAATTCTCGCCAATTGTAGTAATTATCAGTGGTTTGAAGATGACGAGCAAGATGACAGCGATTTTGAGTGTAATGCAGATCCCCCCAAACCAAAAAAACGCCTGATTATGACTCCAGACCTTACGGCCGCTTTGGATCGAGCTAAAATCAGCGATCGTATGGCGGCACGTGTGATCGCTGCTCTTCTCATATCGGTTGGTTTTACTGTGGACGATTTCTATTTGAGCCGAGAAACAATCCGCCGTAACAGGGGTAAACAACGTAAGGCTCTGAGTAATACTATCAAAGATAACTCAAAAAACGGATCTTTCACTACGGTTCATTGGGACGGCAAGCAATTAGCAGCACTGGGGAACAAATACGAGAAGATCGAACGACTCCCTGTTCTTATATCAGGCATTGACGGAGATGAATTACTCGGGGTTCCAAAGCTCGAGAGTGGAACTGGTGAAGAGCAGGCAAATGCCATTTTCAAGTGTTTGGACGAAAGGGGATTTCTTGATGTTATATGTGCCATGGTTTTCGATACCACGGCTAGCAATACTGGCAGTTCAAATGGTGCATGTGTCCTACTGGAGAAATTATTGGGAAGAAGTCTATTATATCTTGCTTGTCGGTATCACGTGTTTGAGCTTCTGCTGAAAGCTGCCTTTGATGTCTCTATGGACCCTACCTCTGGCCCAGATATTTGTATTTTCAAACGATTGCAAGGACAGTGGCAGTACTTGGAGAAGGGAAAATTTTCGCCAGGAGTTCAAGATGAAGAAATTCAAGCCGCAGTCAAGGATGATGCGAAAGATGCCCTCACATTTGCGTATTCGTAGCTGAAGGTAGACTATGCCAGATTTATAATAATAATTATTATGAACGAATTATTAAAAAAACTCACGCACGAAAAAAATTAGTAGAAAAACCTAGCGAATTCGCTGGAAGATTCTATTGGCCTTCTATAAACCTTTCTATAAGTTTTTGGCTGTTTCTTTGGATCTGTTCAATAGAAAGTATTGTATAGATAAAGTTTATGGAATTCGATTTTTCTGTGCAAGTTATTCTATTGAGATATTTTCTATAAAATTTCTTCAGTTCAGCTTTTCTAAGTTTTTCTTGCTTTGATTTTCTTGATGGAAAGAAAAGAAAAATAGAATGCAGAAAACTTAGGAAACTCTAACCGAGAAAAGTCTATAGAATATATTGCAATACAATAAGTTGATTAGAAAAATATAATTCTCTTGGCCTTTTCTATAGAATATTTTCTATTGAACACGTGAATAGAAACGGCCAAAAGCTCATAGAAAATTTTATAGGGATCCAATAGAATTGTTTAGCGGATTCGCTAGGCTTTTCTATTAAATTGTTTCATACTTGCTTTCTTGATGATTGTAAATGACAGGCTGAACGCTTTTCCATTCACTGCTTCACAGATTGATAGCATTCGAAAAGACTACAAAGAGTTTGTAGAGCTGGTGATCATGTTCCTAGGCCGGAATCTTCCAGATGGCAATCGGTTTCGAGCTCTAGGCCCTATTCATTATACTAGGTGGATGGCGAAAGCAATTTACTCACTTAAAATTTTTTTGTATAGAGATCAATTTTCCATGAAAGCGTATGAAATATCAGGTTTGAAGAGTGTTTGTATTTTTATTGTTCGTTTCTACCAGAAGAGTTGGTTCACAGCCCCAAATGCAGTTGAAGCACCGAAAAATGACCTAGAATTATTGAAAAAATTGGCATCTAAAAACAACTCTGCATCTCCAAAAATGTACAACACTGTGTTTGGAAAATTTGTGAACCATCTCTGGTATTTATCAGAAGAATTGATTTCGCCTTTTTTGATGACTCTTTGGATTTAGACTGTAAGAGAAGAATGTGTGAAGCGATCAAATCTCGACCTGCCCTTAAAAACGATAGAAAAAAGCGAAAATCAGACATGAAGGATCAAAACTTCATCCAAGAGTCAAGTTTAGATCAATTCGTAACACAGAACACCATTCAGTTCTTCAAAATTTTAAATATTGAATCTAATTTCTTGGATATCGATCCGATAATGTGGGGAGAAAGCGAAGAATATGTTAAAGCTTCAAAAATTGTGAAATCACTTCTCGTGACGAATGATCTAGCCGAAAGAAGTGTGGCTCTGATCACTGAATATAATGGTTTGCTCACGAAGAATGAAGAAAGTACATAAGATGTGATGCTCATAGTGAAGAAATTGAGGAAGTTGACACCGGATTGCACGAGGGAAACCTTAAAGTTTTCATTAGAAAATTATTTAACCAAGCGGGAGGCAGCAAATATGTGACAGCGCGCATGTCACTGAGTGATGTCTTAATGTTTCTTTTGCCATCAATATATTGATGGCGAGCTTCCAAATGGTTTCATCAGAATGGAATTTTTTCTTCCTCGCATATCCTTTCCCATTTCAAATCGTCCTATTTTAACAATAAATGACTATATAAAGATTTGTGAATTCTCAAAAAAAAAAAATGTAGGTGAATTACTTTATCTCATGAGCTATTAAAAGATCAAACCAAAATTTGGAGAAAAATTTAACTTAACCATACTGAAATTTAACTTTCAACTTCAACTTTCACGCTTATTGTAGCGCTTAACAAGCGAGGTTCATTCAAGAAAAAAACCATCTGGTGCAGCCTATCTGCAATGCGAAATAGTATATTATGCTGTATTGTATTATATGATATTATATTATGTATTATATATTAGTAATAAGAGGAAACTCCATACTTAATACCGAAAAATGGAAATATCTCGGGAACTGTATGAACAGGTATGCATATTTGAATCAATTGATATAAAAAACGTCGAGACGAATATTTTGAAAAATTAATAATTGAAACCGGTTGAATATGTTTCGAGATATTTGCGAAAAAACAATTTAAAGTCAACGATGTACAATGAAAATTGTAAAAAATAGTTAGAATAGAGCAATTGTTATCATTCGAGTTTCGTTGATATTTGTATAAACTGGTCGATTAAATGAGGTAATTTTCGAAAAAAAAATATAAACAATTATGTGTTTTTCATTTTTAAGACATCAACACATGGTTTCGATCATCGAAGGTCGGTCCCTTCACAGAAAAAGTCCGCACGGCAGGTCAAATTTTTTTTTCTAGATTCAGTTTCAACGTATATGGCCATCATAAAAGCACCGGACAAGATGGGCACCTGTCTCTACACAAAAATTTGTTTATCTTATTTCGTCTTTTTCTCTACATTGACAATGTAGTGTAATGTCCAAAATTTTGTACGAGAAACTTTAAGGCTAGAATAATTTTATGTGAAATCATTAAAAACCAAACCAACAATTGTAAACTAAATTGAGTGCATTTCATCACTTGAACTCGATTAAAAATTCCAAAGATATTGGAATCGAGTTCAAAAGTGATGAAATGGCACACTCAGCATGCCCTAATTACCCAATACTAAGATTCGCACGCGAAGGAACGATTGCAAACCGATTAATTAAGACCCCAAAAACCGAATGAACTACTTCTCCATAAAAATCAAAAGAGTGGGAAAAGTCATACGACATTTTCCACCNCGGGATAGTACTGAATTAATAGTAAGTTACGAACAATTGAAATTATCCGGGAATAAAATTTCTTTAACCGGGAGTGGTGACTTTTCTTGCAAATAAGGAAGGAAATTCGTTTATTGTAACGCGTTGTGGACAGTCTCAACCAAACTCTTAAAATCTTCAAACTCAACTGCCAAAAATTCATTAAAATATCAACGAGTAGAAGAAAGTGTTTCCGTGAAAGTATCCATAATAGCCTTTAGCGCGACTAATTGCTGGTGAGGAAATTACGGATTTACCCAGGGATCTACAAATACATCGAATAATTTATAACTAACAGACCGAATTGTGAGTAGCAAAATTTGTAAACCCAAATTTGAATCCTTCAGATCATTCCAGGGATAGGAATTTTAGCTACCTAGATTTCTGTAAAATCACGCTCATGTTTTTGTAAACCGAGTAGTTAAACAAAATATATTTAAATTCAAATTTGATTCCCACTACAACTCCAAATGCCTTGATTAGAAATTCGGCTCAACTGAAGCCCTATCCTTAAATCAAGCCCTTTTTCCCATATATTTTAAAAAAAGGTAAGAGTATAAAACTTTGCGTCGTCCGATAATTATAAAATTCAATAATTTTAGCTTTGATTTTAATGTGACAATTAAAACATGTCCATTGGACGCTAAAATCCTTCTCTGGACATAACAGTAGAAACTTTTTTTTTCCCTTCAAAATGATAGCCAGATAGTTTATCGACTATTCGATCCAAACGACACGAGTGGACGGAGCTCAGCAAGCGTTGTAGACACGTCTGAAAACCACGCAATCGAGGGAAAATCCAAATTTTTATCTTGAAAACAAAATATTTCGTTGAGAAAAAAAATTGTATTTTTCTCTTCCCTTCTACCAGAAAGTCGACGGAGTTAGTTCCACCAAGTTGAGTGATTCAGTCTTGAAAAAAAATATTTTCACATTTGACCTGTTCAAGGCATGTTATATCCCATAAGAAATTGAATCACTTTGCGCAAACTTGGAAATTCATTTTAAAAATTTGAAAAAAATCACATGAATTGGTACATTTTTTCCTCATCTTTCCAAATGAGAATTTTGAAATCTGTTTTGGTTCTCCCGGGAGTCGGATTATTCGACAGTAATTTCAATATTCAGTGGGCAACGAATAAGTCAGGCTTATTCAGAAACTAAAATTCTGAACAAAATTAATTTTGGAAATAATTCCAAATATGACACGTGACAAAATGTTCGATGGAGTTCGATTGCGATAGAAAACCTTCTGCGGAACCATTTTTTATTTTCAGTTTTTCCTGACAGGTTCTAATGATTCTAATGAGGCCGATCGATGTGCCCCCTCTTCAGAGAAGTCAGTACGTCCTTACGTACTAAGTGGAGAACGTTTGAAGAAAATTCGTTCCGACAAAATGTACTGTATGTAAATGTATTTTGATAAATGTGGGAATAATGACAGAGGTGATTATCAGACTGATTTGCACTCTTCGATGCCGCAGATACATAAAAACTTTAATTTCCAATTGCCGTTCTACGGATTTCGGTACAATTACACTCGGGTTAGTGTATGCTTATTCTCTTCATCATTAATTTCAGGAGTGGAGTGGTGAAACGAGTCAAGTCGAGAATCGCCTAAAACCACTATAATGTGTTATACACTTCAATTGAAATGGTCAATTTTTTTTCAATTCTCCGGTTATTCAGCCAATGGTAATTAGCGAAAAACGGGTCATTAGCTAATATAACAACTCCAATGTTCCCGGGATACTGATAGGTAAATATTAAGTTTTTATGAGCGATTTTGAAGTATTTCCACGTATATAGTGTCGGAAACTAGTTGCTATAAATGAATTTAACCTCCTTGAGCTATTATACATCCTAGTAACGTGGATGCTCATGTCGATATACGGGACCTCCCATTCTACGCTTTTCCTTTTAAAAGCACTTTTTTAAATTTCAATTATGAGGTATTCATATAAATTCAACGTGTAGTGAAGCACTTATTTTCAAAGTATCAAGCTTCACCAGCACTTAGCATTACCTAGGGTTCGCTCCGAGGACGCAGCTGGTATGAACCCTACAAAGGTCCAAATTTGACCCAGTCACAGGAATGGAAAAATCGTATAGAAATTTTCTATACGGATTCCGTATAGAATTTCTATAGGATTTCCGTATATGATATTCGGATACTTCTATACGGATATTTTTTATAAAAATTATTTCTATACGATTTCTGTAGGTTTGATCCTACACGGAGAGAAATTTTTGGTAAAAATTACCCTTCCAGAAGGATAAGCGTGTATTATTGAAATTTTTCGTCTGATTTATATCCGGAAGTTTGACAAAAATTGATGTTAAAGAATAAAATTTATCATATGTAAAATAAATTTTACCCTTCCGTATGGTAATTTTCGCCGAAGGGACCAAAAATTGTCTATACATTTGTCAAAATGTATATAGACAAAGACAAAAAATATCTATGAGAATGATAAAAATTATAGTTATCCTGGGAATTATTATAAAATTCATATAATAATTTTTATTCACCCAATTCTATGGGTGGATAAAAAAGTAAAAAGTGTCGCGCGACACTTTTTACCCTTCCAAACAATAAATTCTACCAGTAGATGTATAACCAAGGATATCTCCGATACTAAGGGAGATAGCGAATTTTCCTCGAAAAATTGGGTGGTAATAGGGGGGGTGGTATATCGAGAATTCTCGGTAAACAACCCCCCTCCCCTTCCCCCCAAAATTTTTCAAGGACAATTCGCTAGCTCCCTTAGTTTCGGAGATATCCTTGAAAAACTCACCGCCGCGCTAAACGACTACGGGGGGGCGGAGTTTGTANTTTGTCAATTTGTAAATTATTTTTTTCTCTGCGCCTCTCTCTAATACAATGCGTGCAAGAGAGAGGCAGATTCAGCCAGGCTACCCCCTCTCCGTCATTAAACCTCAGTCCGAACCTGCATGGTGCGTGAAAGAGATCTGTAGGTAAGGTTAGTATTTTTTACCATCCCAAGCAGCACAGTTCTGGAGGGTATCTGCAAGTATACCAAAAAGGCTGTCTAATGTCTGTCCAAAAAGGTAACTTGTGTCTAGAAGTTACCTAGAAGTTAACTAAAAGTTATCGTATGACTGCAAGATACCTTTTAGACGGACATTAGTCTGCCTTTTTGGTATACTTTCAGATATCTTTCGCAAGGTTTGCTACTTGGGATTCTGAAACAGTAATTTTTATACAGATTTCCGTAAAAACTACCAAGATATGTAATAATTTTAATCCGCGCATACTGGTAATTTTTACTCAGATAAGAACAAATATTATCTGGAAATGTTTATTGAAATTTATCCACACTAAGGATATTTATTTACTCCAAAAATAAACTGCTACAGAATTACCCTTCCATCCGGGTCATTTTTACCTCGGTTTCACTATAATTTTTACCAAAAATTTCTCTCCGTATATACGACCCACTGCCACATGTATAGAAACATTTCGTATGGAATTGCAACATTTTTCTCTACGTTTTTCTCTGGAGCGTTTAGACATCTTTCGTATGAAAATGAAAATTTATATAAAAATTTATGTATAGAAATAATTCGTATAGAAATATTCGAATATCATATACATATGCAAATCCTGTAGAATTTCTATACGCAATCCGTATAGATAATTTCTATACGATTTTTTCATACGTGCAACCCCCTTCAAGTTATTTACCTAATTGAGTTCGACTCAATTTTCTTGTTGAATTCAATTTCTTTTGGTAGGGGAGGGTAGGGCAAAACGAACCACTGACAGAAAATTCATAATTTTTTAAAAATAGTTTTTGCTTCCGAATGGAAGGAAAAACAAAAATTCAAAATCATTTGTGGTTTGAAGTGATTAGCAAATCTGATCAAATTGCGGTTCAACGACACTTCCTGTCTATAAAACCCCTGTGACGGTTATGATCCTGAAACTCACTTTTAATTCAACACATTCAGTGTTCCTGATTTGAAGGAAAGACAAAAAAACAAAAATTACCATTTTTCTGTCAGTGAACCGTTTTCCCTACCGGTCCGTTTTGCCCTCCCCTCCCCTAATGAATGACGAATTAATTCTGTTTCCTCGAAAAATTCGTTGGAGTAGTCATATACTCTAATTATCGAAAAACGGTACGCTGCGGTGTTTCCCTCATTTGGTGACCAATCTAGGGTTAATACTGTGTCTTACAAGTTAGAAGCAATTTGAAAACAAAATTTTTATCGAAAAAAAAACATTTTTTTGAAAAATCATAACTCTTGTAATTATCAATATTTTTCAAAATTTGTTTTTCAAAATGTTTGTCTGATGCCCAACTTTTTAGAAAAAAATCGAGCAGAAAATCCCAGACATCAATTTTTTTGGGTTTCGGATTTCACACGGATCGGCTCCTATAGGATACGGAATTTCTACAATAGATATGGATATTTTGAAAAATCCATGCTCTTTTATATTGGTGTATACACATCAAGTATGTGTCATTATTCATTTTCAGCATCATCTATTTGATCTTTAGTCACTTGAACAATTTTTACCAAATTCTAGTCTTTACGCCCGTGCACTTTCTGTTCCGATGGGGGTGACCCAGAGGGAACTTGGGAGGGATTTACGTTTTTGGAGTCACTTTTTTGATTTCCCGCTTGAAATATTAGCAGTTCAATTGTTATTAACAATTTAATTGTTCAAGGATGGTGATAACCCTATCATCATAAAGCGCGAACATATATTGGTTAGCATTACCCGGTTCCCGAATTGGACATACACTCCAGGGATAGCCACATCCATGAATTATAATTAATGTTAAATTATTAAGTAGTCAATTAGTTAATATCACACTTAAATTTTAATTATTGAAATAATAATCAATTTAAATATTCAAATTCCAAATTATTTATTAATGAGTAATTTAGTTGGCAAGGAAATCCCTGTAATAAATTTATTTTTCTAATTTTTAAATTTTGGGTTTTCTTACCTCTTTCACTCCGTTTAAAATTCAGACCTTATAGAAAAATTACCGACCGTAAAATTGAAATAAAATTTAGCATAATTACCGTGAACATCAGCAACAATACGACTCTAAAAACTAACAAATCGTCGAATCGAACGCGAAATACAACGTCTTCCAGAAAAACCAAACCAAGAAATGCGACAACGAAGAGAAATAATTCAACCCAAAATACCATCATGTAAAAACAATTCAAATAACCATCAGAAATAAAATTTAAATACAATATTGAAGCTAAATTCAAGTTTGTTCAAAAACATCCATAAAAAATATACTATGGTAAGAATAAACACAATTTGAAATGAATCACACCATTCCGAAATATTCATTTTTGGATTTAATTCCAGTCAAAATCATGAACTTAATTTAAACAATAGCACTTTTCATAGAAGTCTCTCTTTAGATTTAGTATTACATCTAAAATAATAGTCCGAAAGGGACTCGTCCAAGATTCGACACAATAAAAAATGTCTCGTTGAGTTATGCTTATTTTTTCTTTCTTAGTCCTTTGAATTTTAATTTCTATAAGTCTTTCATCTCTCAATTAATTCAAAATCCTCTCTTTTAAATATGTGACGAGAAAAATATATAGTTTATAAAAAGTACTCATCTCTTTAGGTGAAACGAAAAATGTGGCTGCTCTGCTCGGAAACGAAAAGAAACGTGGGTACCCACAAAAATGAAAATACAATTGACACACTAATAATCCACTCGTGTGATCAGCACGGTGGTCCGAAGCAAAGAGAACGAACAGGCTCGCTAGCGTCGTCTCGATGCCATCAGTCACAAATTTTGTCATTTGTGTTGATGTGACACTCAATACTATTATTATCATTTGTGAGAATCAGAATATCGGACAGATAGATCCCCTTTTTCATTTCTGTTGATAATTTAAATTCAAATTACCACATCCCTTATAAGAAATTTAGTATTATTTACTTAAGAGTAAATTTACAGATCCATATTATCAAATATTTAATTCATCATGAATTGGAAATTTAGATTATCAATTATTTTAGTATGTGCTAATTTCGATTAGTATATTTAAACCTTGATCATTGTAATTTGAAAATGCTTTTAATATTGAAAAATCGCAAGATTGATGGCCATCCCTGGCTGAGACAATTCTATACAAAAAATTTAATTTGATCATTGCGTCTATTATTACTTATTACTAAGATAATTCAACGATCGACGGAATGACTTACGCCGACTCAAATCGTTTCACCACTTCTCCACTCATTCCCTCTCGAGGCAATTACGACGCTCATTAAATTTACGATTTAGTTGTCCATAAATGGATACTTGGAGTTCAATGATCCTCCAAAGCATTACACACATCCACTTGTCTTCCCGGTGAAAGACTGGCCGAAGGAGAACGATCCTGCGTTTATTGGCATCTTCTTCAGCAAATGTCGGATCGGATCACTTCGACTCACCGATACGGATGAACGACAGCCAGGAGTTTATTTCAGGTATTGTCAATAATTTTCGCACGAAATATTCTGATTTGGGTTAAAAATCGAAATCTAAAATCGCAAATCGAGGGGCTACTACTCACTCCATAATTGACTGATACCATGATTTCGAAACGAAGTCGATTTCGGGTAATTTCAAGCGTTACGGGAGGTGATTTCATGATTTTGAAAAAATTTCATTAATTCGAAATCAGTGATTTCAGAAAAATAAAGTTAATAAATAATAGAAGAATAGAATAGAAAAAGTGCGGCTGGTCACTTAAAGCGCCCAGAGTCACCTAAATCATACGATCTTTTGTAACTTCCGCCTTAGTTTCGGTCAGTCACACAGCCCCAGCCCTGTGTTTCTCACTAGGCTAATAAGGCTGGTGATAGCCGCTTGTTGTAAGTCCTCTGGTTTCAGGAAAGCCTGGCCCCAGATTTTATAGCGACGGAGTGCTAATAGGGGGCATTCACATAAAATGTGGATGACGCCCTCCTTATCGCCTCCGCACAGTCTGCAGTCTTCTTGTTCTGCAAGTTTCATCTTGAACAGATGAGCTCTGAGAGCTGTATGACCCGTAAGGAGCCCTACTGCTACCCTCAGATCCCCTCTGTGCAACTCCAGAAGCTTTCTGGTCCTAACTCTTAGTTGCCCTCTCATAAGCAGTTTCGCTTGTCTGCAGGTCGCAACTTTCTCCCAACGCCTGACATGATCCCGCTGGAAATGATCTTTAATAAGAGTTTTTCCCACTGCGAAGGGCATGCCAAGCAGGCCGTGTGAGGGCACACTTTCTGTACCCTCCCTGGCCAGCTTGTCTGCCTCTTCATTACCCAGAATCTCATGGTGACCTGGCACCCAGGTTACGGTGACCCGGTTGTTTTTACCCAGTGTGTCCAATGCCTGCATGCATTCCCACACCACCTGTGACTCTGTAGTGGGTTTTTCCAGGGCGTGTATCGCCGCCTGGCTGTCACTGCAGATGAATATTTTCATCTTTTTTGTGTCTCTCGCGTTCAGATACTCTGCACACTTAAGTATGCCCAGCATCTCTGCTTGAAAGACGGTTGAATGATGGCCCAGCGGAAAACTCTCTCCGAAGCCATCTTTCAGACGGTAGATGCCTGCCCCAAAACTTTCATTGAAGCCAGAGCCGTCCGTAAACCAGTAGTCCTCTCTTGGTCCTGGTTTACGTTTCGAGTCTAGCCACTCCTGTCTGGGTGGTATACTCGTTCTGAAAGTTTTCCTGATCTGATACTTCCTAGGAATCCTATCCGTCTTACCTATGAAGGGTCGATCATTGATTAGGCTAAGCCTTGTATGGCCTTGGCCCGTCATCTTCCATTCTAGTTGGCACCTTAGTCTATATGCAGTTGTGGTAGCACAACTCACAACCCTAAGGTCGAGGGGTGGGATACTGAGTGCTATTTCTAGCGCCTCAGTAGGTGTCGATTTCATGGCTCCTGTTGCAGCCCTCAGGAAGGTTCCCTGTAGGCTTTTCAACAGGTTCCTTGTTTCCGTCTTACTCACCCTCGGCCACCAGACGACCGCAGCGTATAACAGTCTCGGAAGTAGAACTATTTGGTAGAGCCAGAGCATCATTTTAGGATTGAGTCCCCATGTCCTGCCCACAGCTCTCCTGCATGCCCACATAGAGGCAAACACTTTATTTCTCTGAGTACAGATATGTTCTTTCCAGCTGAGTTTATTATCCAGGAGGACACCCAGATATTTCACTCTGCTGGTGTAGTTAATCTCCGAGCCATTTAGCTTCAGAGGTTGGATCTTTTCCAGTTTATAATTTCTGGTGAAAACCAGGATTGTTGTTTTGGCTGGATTTACCGATAGGCCAGTTACCCTGCACCAGTCCTCAATGATATTGAAGGCTGTTGCCATCAGGTCCTTTAGCACTCTCAGAAATCCGTTTTTCACAACAACTGCCACATCATCGGCGAAACCGATGACGTGGAAGCCGGCCTCACTTAGTTGATTTAGAAGTCCATCTACAACCAGGTTCCATAGCAGGGGCGAGAGAACTCCCCCCTGCGGACAGCCCCTAGTCGGACGTCCCTCCACACATGCCCTCCCATGTCCTGCCGACAGTCTTCTGCTTTTCAGCATGTTTTGTGTCCAAGCAATGATAGTCTTGGACACCTGTCGTTCTTCCATGGCTTTTTCTATAGCCGAATTCGAAGTGCTATCAAAAGCCCCCTCAATATCCAGAAAGGCGCCTATGGCAAAACCCTTGACCGCCAGTTGTCCCTCAATCAGTCCCACCAGGTGATGTAAGGCGGTATCTGTTGATCTTCCCTCCCTCTATGCATATTGACAGGGGGAGAGGGGTCTCTCAGCCAAGG